TAAAAGAAATAAATATAATAAATAAAATATATGAAATAAATAAAATATAATAATATATAAGATAAATAAAATAAAATAAATAAAAGAAATATATGTTATAGATGACATAGATAACATAAAAGACATATATGATTTTTTAGGGATTAACATCATCCTTTAGATCATAATCATCCATATCTTCTTTCATATAATAATATAATACTTTTATTAATATTTATATCTTTAAAATAAATATAAAATCTTGCATGATATTGATATAAGAATTAGTATTAAGATTGATATTGATATTGGAATTGACCTTAAATTAATTTTTAAATTAATATATATATATTAAAAAGATAATATTATAACTAAAAATATTATTATATTTATCTATATTATTATTATTTAGAAGTTTAATTAATTCTAATACTTTTTTTTTAAATTATTAATTTTTTTGATTAAATTTTCTTCTCTATTGACCTCTATTAGTTTTTACTATACTGCAATAAAGTGAATAACAAAGTTTTTTCCTATTTCAAGATAAGATACAATTGTAACTTTTGATTTTTATAATATTTTTCATATTCAAACTTTATAATAATATAAAATCTAATAATTATTTATATGTAATTTGTAATAAAGCACAATCTAAAATTTTTAGGTTTTATATTATAAAAAGAAATATTATACAAAAAAAGTGCAGTTATAAAATTTTATTTTTGAGTTATTAATATTATATGAAAATTCTTACCAATTACAATTATTATTATTTATTAAAATAGTGACTAATTATAAAGAAATTCAGTCATACTGAAGTTATGGTAATTCATTTTATACTTGAAAAAAAAAGTTGTATAGTACATATAATCAAAATGTATTTTTAAGTAGCTAAAATTTGAAATGTTTAATATTTTATTATTTGATAGATAATTTGAAATATTATTAGTTAATACATATATGTGATAAATTTACAGATAAGAATTAAATTTTTTAGTAATTTTAGTGATATATTTCTATTACTATATATTTTATTTCTATTGTAATATATTTTTTTTACATTTCATTTGTAATTCTCTTTCCATTATTAAATAATAGAAAAAATCATCTAATTAGTCTAAAGTGTAATGAAAGACTATATATGTATAGTTAAATAGTTATACAAAGTAAAAATAGGAACAGTTCTATCAGTTCCATTTTAGTTCCTCTTCAGTTCTACTTTAACTCTTCTTAAGTAAATTAAACTTTGAGTGTTAAGTTAAATTTATATTAATAGAATATCATGTGATGATCAATTTAAAATAATTTTTTGACTGGTTATCAAACAAATTCATTCTATTATTTCCTTTAATTTGATGACAATCTGATTTTGAGTCAATTTTTGGAATCAGTCTGGAGTCGATTCCAGTTCAATTTTTAAAATTGGTTAAAAATAGTTTGTAACTTAGAGAAATCTAGAATATGTTGAATTTATAATTGATTTCAGAACTGACTTAAAGTCACTCTTTTTGAACTATCTCCATTCCTAATACAAGGTATTCTGTTATCTACTTGCTTAAAAATTATTAATATTAATTAGTTTTGCGTTAATTTTATTTTAATTTTATGTGAATATTACCTTAATATAATATAATTTGTTTTTTTTTATTTTTTATTTATTATTTTTTATTTATTTATTTATTTATTTTTTAAAACAAATACAAATTTTATAAAAAACAAAAAAAATAAAACTATTAAATAAAATATTTTATTTGTATTTTTATAATTATTCATATACTACTAATATCATGATTCTCAAATATTCTTCTTTGTTTCTTTTATTTTAAAGTCTTCTACAACTCTTGATATATTGAAGCTTATTAAAGCTAAATTGTTTAAAGTAAATATTACTAAGTAAATAAACTTATAATAATGTGACAAAAGTTAGACCAGCTGCAAATTCTTTATTTCTAAGATGATTTTGATCTTTTTAAAGTTAAATTCTGATTTTTATACATTATAATAGTTTATGCGAGACTTATTAGTACCTAAAGCTGAGAATAATTTATGCTGTTTTTATCTTTCTAACTATATTTAATAAGTACTATTAGAACAACTTCATCCTCTTTTATTATTTTTATGATAAATCTATTATATTTCTTAAATTTAATTAAGACTGCTTTAAAAAGTGTTAGTAGTTCTTGATTCTTAAATAATATATCTTTTATGATTCTTATAGATCTGTTAACTAATTTCACTTTAGTCTATAGGTTTATTATTAATATTATATGATAACCTTTTGCCAATAAAAATTTAGCTTTGAATTCTTTTATTACGTTAAAACTAACGCGTTTAGCTTTCTTTTCTTCAGTATATACTATCTTAATTTTTATTATTAAACAATTTAATTTACTAAATATCTTAATATTGATCCTATCTATATTTTTTCACCTAGTTAATATAAAAATCATTATTAATAATTAATCAAGTTCTAACTAATTTAAATTTTCTTCAAAATCAATTAGTAAGGATTTTTAATTATCTAAAGTATTATCTTCTTCTCATAATTTTAGAAGTAGATACCTGAAGCTTTAGTGTTCTTCTGATTTTTCAAATTACTATTGCACTATATCAAGTTTATATTACTTTTCTAAATTACTTATATATTACTATATCATTATTTGATAATGTATTATGTGATATATTATTATACACAGTGGTTAACAAAAGAAATGCAACAACTTATTTTTAGCTTTAAACGCTTATAACTTATTAACTATAAATACTAGAAACATAATTTTTGATTCATTTTAATCTTTACATTTTAAAAAACATCTTATAAAAATTTATTAGCCAATTAATAATGTCAATTTTGTATAATATAAAGATCTACATTAAAAATAGTACTTAATGACTTTTGAGTTTATAATACTTTTTTAAGCAGGCTAGCTATCATAAAACTGATACTAAATTCTAATTCTCCTCTACATGATGATTCCAACAAGCTAAATTTCATTTAAATCAGACCATCCAAATATGAACTATTACACTTTTTATAATGAACTATTATTAAAATTTAAAAATTATAAGTTTATTATATTCAGCAGTCATTATAAAAAGGTTTGTTATAACCAGCTTTAACTGTATTATTTAATATAATAAATTCATAAACTAAATTTTTATTTTTAAATAAATATTATATAATATGTTATTTTTAAAATTGAAAATTGAAAAATCGATATATATTAATAATTATTAATTTTAAAAATTTAAAAATATTATTATTAAATATTTTAATATAATAAATCTAATAAATTTTATTTCATCTTTTTATAATCATTAAATATCAAAATATTTAAGTTTTCTAAATATTTTATAAATCAATTTATATTTACAATTTAAGAAATAATATATAAATAAATTTATTATGAAAAATTCTCTTTTTAAAATTTAAAAATAAGTTTTACTAATATTATTTAATATTTTTTATTTTAATAATAATTATTCTTTTAAATTTAAAAATATAATTTATTTATAAAATTTCAAAAAATTTTAAAAAAATTTTACTAATATATTATTAGTAAAAATAAATTGTTTATAAATTTTAAAAACTTATTTTATGTATATATTTTTTTAATTAATTAATTTAAAAATTAAGAAAAAATAAGATATACATTTTAAAATAAAAATTAAAACTTATATTTTATTTAATATTAAATTTATCAGTTTTATTTAATATATTAGATATATATATTTTTAAAATTATTCCTTCAATAGTTTTGCTTACAAATTTTGCAGGCAATTTTATTTATTAATTACAATTATTTTTAATTATTTTTGAATATTTTAAAATATATTATTAAAAAAATTAATACATTTATAATAAATTTTATGATGTTTTTTAAGTAAAAATTTTAAAAAAAAATGTAATTAACTAGTAATTTTTTAAAGTTAAATAAATAATAAATTATTATAAAAAAAATTAAAATTTTAAACTCATATATCTTGCTATTTATTAATCTTAGAAATATAAAAATACTACCATTTAATAGGTTTAAATTTAATGAATCCAATAAACTAAATTTTTTATTTTGTAATTATTAAATAATAAATTATTATTAAAATCCATTTTTTAGATAAATGCAAGTATAACTATAATTTATTCTCTTTTTTTAATGAGAATATTTACAATTTGTTGATTATAATTACTAGAGACTGCTAGCATTTTTAGATTAATAAATTTACTAAAAGGAGATAAATCAAATTAAAAAATTAAAAAATTAATCATTAGATATATCATATGATAAATTTTAAAATTTTTTATTTTATCTTTTATAATCATTAGATTTTAAAATATTTTAAGTTTTTAAAATGTTTTAGAAACAATTTTATATTTATAATTTAAGGAATAATTAAAATTAAATTAATTTATTTTTTAATTAAGTTTAATAAAATAAACTTAATTAAAAGAATAATATTATTATAATTATTCAAACTTTTTTTTTTTTTGTAAATTAAAAAAAAAACACATTAAATAGATTATCAAAATAATTTTAAGAAATAATATTTTTTAGTATTTATAAAAATTATTATTTTTAAATTTTAATTCAAAAATAAAGTAAATTATATATATATTGATTTACAAATGCTAATACTTTTTTTTCAATATAACTTAAAATTATTTCCGGAAATTCTAAATTTATACAAGGGAAAAACAATTTTTTTTCTTATATAAATAATTAAATCGGAAAAAATAATATACAGTAAAGAATAAGAATATATTTTTAAAATAAAAACTCTTTCACCCATTTGCACACATATATATTTGTTTATTCCTGTTGGATTTTTCTTCGAAAACAATAATTTTTATGTTACAATAGCGAAGTAAAACCCTAAGGAATATTTGTAAAAATCATTAATAAAGAATAAACAAATAATTCTTGATATATGAAAAGAAGGTTCATGAATATCAAACCGAGTCCTTTTTGAGGAAAAATTGTAAATAATAGTAGTAATGCTAATAAATAGCGAAATATCAGGAGTCAATCATGTTTTTTATGAATGTTATTAACAATAGGTGATGAAGTACCATTAACGACTCCACCACTTTTTCCTCCGTTTATAACGATGGAATTTGCATCATTATTTCCATTTCCACCACCGATTTCACCCGTTGTATATCCATTATCTGATATCCGCCGTATCCATCCCATTTCTATAAAAAAGTCATATATTCTGGCCGTCTTGTTAACATCAATCCGTATAAGATCTCGTGCTTGACGTCTCCTCAGAGTCCCTCCCGATCTAGCCCATTCTTTTAGGATCGTCTCTTTTATTACCAAATAAGACCTTGGTAATATTCGTAAATTCTCACATAATTTTCGTTCAGCTTCAGATAACAAATGAACACCTTCTACGTCATTAAGATCAAGTGCCGCTGGAATTTTTCGCGTATTGATTCTGATGGACGAGGATGGAATCGTTTTGCAACCATATGGCGACGATAACGGAGATTGTTGTTGCTGCTAAAATTTGTAACATAATTTATTTGTTTATGCATGCAATAAACAATATTTTAGAACAGATTAATTAAGAAATTACCTCTCTTACTAAAACAGGTGGTATTTTGGCCGCATATTTTGCTGCTAAACGATCGCTGGCTGAGACCGTAGACATAATATGTCCATTATGCGGCCTGGCCGCTAGTTCACGGTTTGCCTCCTTATAAGCCAGCCATATTTATAATAAAAATAATAACGTTATAAATTCCAACCAGGAAAAATGCAGCAAAGAATAAGCTGTTAGTGCCCGGTTTAAACTAACTGATCTTCCGTAGAGAGTAAAAAAGGCTACCTTTTGTGCCTTTGCTGCCTCATATTTGGCCGCTTCGTTTTCGGTCAATATTCCCATTCGTCGATACTCTTGTAATTTTTCTATCTTTATTCGCGTGTTAAGTTCCTCTATAAATAAATGAATTAATAATTTGGGTAAAGACAATAAAGTTTTAATTTTTTTTTTAATATATATAAATAAATAATATTATTACCTAGCAATTCGTCTCTTAAATCGTCAAAATCTTGTTTACTCAGAACTTGTGCAAATGGCTTGATTTTATTTATTAATTCTTTCTCCTCTTTACTTTTATATTTCTCTTCTTCCATTGCTTTCTATAAATATATATAAATAAATCATTATATAAAAAGTACGATGAATTTTTGAACAAAATGTCATCTAAACATTAGCAAATATTCTCAGGTCTAAATGAATGAAATTACATTCTTTCTATAATCTAAAAGACCATGTTCAAATATTAATTTCTTCCTCTCTGCTCTCTTTTTCAATTTTTTATTATATATTTCTAATACGATTGTTTTCATTTCTGTACATAATTATTGTCATTATCAGTAAGATGCAAATAACGAATAAAAAAAGAAATTTATATGATACTACGAACCAGTATCCTTCGGATGATCTTGCTCATTAATTTCTAAATCTTTAATAACGTGTTCTGCCTCATTATCATATTCATGTTCAAATTCCTTTCGATTCGGCATAAAGCCGGTAATTTCATGGTTTGCTGGTAAACTTTGCAGCGGCTATTAATAATGTTTTCCGAAAAATTAGAACATAATATCTAGACTCGAAAAACAACATCATCACATTAGAAACCAACGAACCTTTGGAAGAACTTTGGGTGGCGGATCTATTATAATGAAAAATATATATAAATTAATGTTACACGATACTTAAGAAAATTATATATTGATTAAGATAGATAAATTCATTGGTACTTTGAGGTCGATTCTCAATCGTCAAAACACGCCGTCGTTTTCTTTCTCTCATGGTTTCGTCATCAAGCTTGAATTTTACGTCCATATCCTTTTAGATTTTTAAAAAAAAGATTAAAAGTATTTTCGTTTCAATATATATTTATATATTTTCAATTCAAATGATCATTTAATATATATTAAAAAAATTATGACCAGCATTTTGATATTAATATATATGATTGACCTCCAGATTTGTCTGAAAAAAACCATCTTATATAGAACTCTATATAACTATATTAACAAATATCCTCAGCATCTTCATAAAGATGAATTAAATAAACAAATTACCGGTATTGGCCATGTTTCACTATTCTCATATATATCCATATAATGTTGTTCACATTCTTCTTTAGTTTTACTCCCTATAAATTCTGCTATATCTTGCCAATTACCTAGTCCATGCATTTCAGCACCCTCTATCAATAATTCTTCTTCGTCTGCTCCCCAATCTTCCGTAAATAAAGGGAATGAATATTGCTCCTAATAAAATGATAAAATCGCAAGTAATTAAATCTTTGACATTATACATAAATTTATAACTAGGAATGAAAGATCGCATGTATAACCGTCTGTTCAAATTAGTAAGTTTGACAAAAAATTCAGAAAAATGATTACCAGAACTCGATAATCATGCCAACTTTTATGTTTTTCCAATTCTTCTCCGGAAGTAAAACAAGTAACACATAAATCAAAATCTTGACATATGGCACAGTTTATTCGAACTGTATTGCCGATATTGGCGTGACAAGTTTTACAGCGAAACATAGTTGAGTCTAAATTTATTATGAAATAAAGTTAAAAACGTATAGATCGTGGTGTAATTAAATAGTAAAAAAAAAAAAATTCTTTTTGATAGAACTGTATATTGAAATAGGGAGAATTTATTAAATTATTAATAAGCAATTCTCTGCGTAGGTGAAAAGTGAAATGTTTTCACAGATCTCACCTTTCGCTTTTTTATTCGCATACAATTCAAATGATATATATGAAATTTGTTTTATATAAAGATGTTATATTAAATAATATAATTATATCAACACAAAATGTTTGTTTATTCTCGTACTACTTTCAATTCATTTACTTAACTTTAAAGAGAAACTTGTTGTGTAGTTTCACCAAAATAACCTTTGACTAAAATTAGACTTACTAAACTTTTTATGTAATACTGATTGAAGCTTTATATGGTCGTAGTTTTTTTTTTTAATAAAATAATATGAGTAATAAAATAAATAAAAATTATTTAACTTAGATATTTTATTTATATCATATGGGGCAAAACCAGACAAAGTGAACATTTGATTATGTGACATAAATAGAGGCTGACCATGATGTGGCTGTAAAATTGACCAGTGTGACTGATGACGTTTTGAAATAATAATGGTACCCATTCATAACTTATAGACATTAATTTTAATGCTCACTTTATCATACCAGAATGTGATGAATATAAACCATAACATGATTAATATAGGATTACCTCTATATATAAAAAATATTAATATGAAACTAATTTATATTAAGTTCACTATGGAACCAAAAATTACAGCACTATTAGAAGCATTTGAAAAAAGGAACAATTATTTTCTTAATTTCAATCAAGGTCATCTCTTATTTTCTTTAACTTCAACTTGAGCAATGTGTTGAGTCTGCTGTTTTCTTAAAAACTCAATTTCACTTTCAAGCCTTTGAATTTTATCCAATAATTCTTGCTTTTGTTTATCATGTCAATCCTTTGAAACGTCTAAGGCTTTCAAGTGAGAACTGGTTTCTTCCTTAGCACTGGCTAGTTGTTGTTTTAAATCCTTGTTTTGTTGCTCTAATCTACTAACATAACTCTGAGCCATTATTTCTGTTATGGTTAGAGTTTTAACTGGTAGTTCATCTTTTCTTAAATCACAAAAGCAATCTATTCTATTTCTCATAATTCGATCACAGTCATTACAATGTGGTAGAGCATCATCATCAAGATTCTTTTTGCATTCAACACAAATATAAGCAATGTCACTATAATCATTATTGTTGGTATTGTAAGATAATATTTTGTAAGTAGCATTTAAACTTCTTTCTTTTTCAAAAGAGCAAAAATTGCAATGTCATTTATCTTCTCTTCTTAACTTGATAGCTTAGTATTCTAATTTCATTATTTATCCTTTTATAAGATGTAAGTGTTGAACTTCTCTTGAGTTATTACTTTACTTGCTTAATTTCTGCTTTTTACTTTGTTAGTTAGGAGTTTAAATTTGTTTTGTTTCTTTGGCAAAGTTGGCAGTTCTTGAAATTGCTTATTTGCTAAATAATTCTGCCATTCCACAACTTTTTCTAGTGCATTTATTTTCTTAGAAATTTTTTCTAATTTGTCATCTTTTTCTTTTTTTTGCTTTACTCTCCATTGTCTAGTTACTTCAAGAGTATCTAAATGACATTTAGAAATGTCTTTCTCTAATTCTAATGCTTCTTTCAAGACTTTTTGTTCTTCTTCTAATTGCTTATTTATTTCAAGCAATTCATTCCTCTCTTGCTCTAAATTAGCTGTTAATGATTATAAACTTTTAACTTCTTCATTAGATTTCACTTACCAAGACATTGCATTGTGATGCAAATAAATAAGGCGAACAAAACTTTCTCTAAACTTTTTGTCTTCTAAATACTATAATACATAAAGGCGGAGTCAAAAGTAATCTATAACTGCTCTTATCTCTACTTTATTTAGATTTCAGTTTAAACTACCAATTAGTTCTTTTATTTCCTCTTCAGTTAAAATATTATTTTGGTTTGTTATAATTTTAATTCCTATATTATTATTTTAGTAATATTAAAAGATTAAATCATAAAGAATTTAATAGTAATAGAAATGAACAAAAACTAATAAAGTTTGCAATTGACTGAAATATGTTATTCATTATCAATATAGATTGGTTTGAGACAAGTAATATCCTTGAATTCATCTCTAATAAATGGGCGAATATGATGGTAAAGATATTCTTGTCATTTATAATCCAAGGGAAGAGGAGTTAGTACTAGGATGGAAAAGGATTTAAGTTCTCTAGTAATTTCAGAAACAGTTATTTTTCTGATTTTTAATAAATTAAATTTGGTAAAAGCACCATTAGTAACCAGCTGAGCTTTGACAACCTCAGGTTTGGCTACTTCAAATACAAAATGCTAATATTTTTGTAAACCACTTAATTTTTTAAAGAAAATTCCTAATACAGAAGTAAAATCTAAGTATTGAAAGCCTTTGCCGTTTTTATAGCACTGAGCTTTATTTAATCCTACTATATTTGATTTTTTTACAACTTTAACTATATAATCTACGCAATCTACAGTCATTTTTTGATAAAGCTTTTTAATCAATCCAAAACTACCATCACACTTGAATTTAGTATGTCCAGGTATCATAAAATTTAATTTGATACTTTCATAATAACCGCAAATTACTAAATATAAGTAAAATCAAATGGTAGCATTATTTTTATTCTAATCACTCGCGTTGTCACAAGTAGTTTTTAAATGTTTCTCACCTTTATTCAATTTCTTTATTCCATCGAATACCATGCTTAATGTGCCATTAGGGCCTTTACTGATAATTTCATTTTCATCGAGAACATAATTAATTTGTTCGCATACTGCTTCATCTTGGATACCAAATAAATGCACTTTACGTGGACTGAGATAATAAATTTTACTTACCTGTTGATCAGAATGGGATATGTGAACATTTTGTGCTCAATCGTAACTGTAATGAGCAGTAGCATTGACGCTACAATAATTAACTTTACCTTCCGTTATTGTGTAATTATCATCTACCAATTTCCTCTATTGTTCTGCTAATTTCGTATTTTTGTTGTAATAATTTCTTTCTAATTTAATCTTAACTAGATGTTCTTTGAATTTTTTTAGTAAATCTCTTGCTTCTTCTTTCTTACGAGCATTATATTGTAAGCCATTTCGAAAATGTTAGTATGTATCACATAAATCTGTTCATAGACTCATAATTTGAATATAAGGCGTTAATTGGTGCCATAATTTGCGAAATGCGTCATATTTTAACAATTTCAGTGTGCTACCATTTTCAAGACCTGTAATAAATCACGATAGACCAATTTATAACTCATTTCAGCTGATAAAAGTGTAAGCGATTGAGTAATGCAATTGACATTTCTACCAGGACTTGGTAATCCATGAATTTCAGCATAATTTTCGAGAAAATTCTTTATGACAGTAGCAACGATTATATCAATGGTTATTTTGGTCTTTTATCGCGGCATTCGTTTGATATTGCCATGAATACGTGATATTATACCATTCGTCAATAGGTGATTTCTGACATTTTTGAAGTGTGTGCAACTAATTCCCAACATATTGAGATACGTTTTTTGACAAAGCGGCATATTGCGATTTCAATAATAAAATGTTCTTTTATTATTATGCGTTTTCTTTCTAAGACGTCGACTGGCCGTTATTTTTTCACCATTTATTGCTTTCAGTTGGGCCATTAAAAATATATTTTGTTCAGATTGAGAAAGAGCTTGAAATGCCTCACGTAATTCAGCAAACTTTTCTCTCAGAATCTTTTTTGAGCAACCACAGTTGCAACTTATCGCTAAGAAACGTATTGCTTTTTCAAATTTAGTAGAACTATTATAATTATAAATTTCCATATACGAGTATTCCTATATATAGATTTTATACCAATCAAGGCTATAGTTTATTGTTAATTGGATCTAGAATCAATCACGTTCTAATTACGACTTACAGATATTCTTGTAATTTCTGCAACAAAAGTTTTATTCCAAGTTTGCTAAGTAGCTATCACTTGCTATATCTGTATACATGCAATGTCCTGCATAAATTTAGCAGAACACTTGAACTTTTATGTGAGAAATGTAAATTGAACTTAAAATTAAAGAAATTCAACCAATTAAATGAAATTAAACATTCACTTTTTTTATATATAAATGGAAAGTCCTATCATTTCAACATCAGTATTACAAAAGCATATATGAGAAATTGACAACACAGTCGAATGCCAATCTTTTTTGCTAAATTAAAAAACCATGCCTTCTACTCAGTATGATGCAAAAGAGATTGTCTTTTTTTGCATATCTTTGCATATGATCATTGCTGTCTTAGAAGTTTGACAGTACACAATGTGTACAGTTTCAAAGTGAATACTATCCCTTAGTTTTAGGAGAGTTAGGAAAACTGAGTGTGGGTTTGTTGAACAGGCTGTCCTACAAAACAAAATTGAGAACATAAGCATATATTAGATTCTGTTATTTCCTCATATAATAGGTGGCTTGGCTAACTGCATTCTTGATATCATTGTTAAAAACCTTGTTGACTTTGATTTCAAAATCCCATACTCATCATGATTGCATGCCCAGATATCACATCTCTTCTGGAGTTTGTTCACAGTTTTTGTCTCATGAAGAGCTTATACATTGGATATGCTATAGCTGTGTGTAGTAAGGAAAAGAGTTCTCCTTAGATAATTGCTTCAGCAAAAGAGAGTTGATTGGCAGCTAGGGGATGGAAAATCACCTCATGGCAGATACATTATAACAGAGTTAAAACCTTCTTCAAGAAATCAGCCAGTTTTTTTAAATTTCAGATTTGTTGGGATGCCAATCTCCATGTTATAGAAGGGATAATAAAAGGTTGACAGTAGATTGAAAATAATATTGAATGTGAAATCCAATAGGTTATCCCACTCCTTGATAATACTGAGTGGGTGCAGATGAGTAAGAGCAAGTGAATCCTCTTCAGCAATATCAGATTTCTGCATACAGTTGACACTGTTTATACTGAACTGCCCAGCTGAAGAGTTTTTGTTCATTATAACCAGAGTTTGCTATTATCAGATATATCACATGATTATGTTATTGTAGTAAATCTTGAGCGATCTGCTCATTTTATTCAACAATTATCCTCAAAATAGTAGTGGAGGTCTGACTGCTTAAGATTTTTTTGAATAACTAGTTCGATTTGTCTATTTAATCTTTCAGAATTTATCAACCTCACCAAATTCAGGTGGTTGTTGATATAAGAACATTAAGACTGCATTTATTAATTCCTCTGCTGTTTTGTTACTTATTATCTCGACTTCTTCCATTGGTTCAACTTCCTCTTCTTCAGCTTCTTCATTATTTTCTTTCTCTCAATTTAACACTTCCACTATATCATCATGTCCAAGATCTTCCCAGGCATCTTTGTCCTCAATGTGTATGTATTCAGTCGCTGGTATAATGTTATTGTTATTATTTGGTAACTGTTTAAGAAGTATCTCTAAATTTCTTTCATAATCCTTATTGTTAGTCATACTACAGGATTTAAACCAGAATAGCAATTAGTTTTAGCCATTTTTATGAATATAAGTAATTTATAACAATTTCAGCGATTATAACGTTTTTCATGATTCAAATTTATACAGAGTTGAAGCTGGTCCAGAGTTAGATTAGATTATGCGCAGTTGAGTGTTATGTTCCTATGAATGACTTACTATTACGGGGTGATCAACAAATTATATCACTCTGGCCCTGACGATGGCGAGTTAATATAATCACGAGATAATCGACTAATCAGATTTCGCCTTTGATTTGCGAGAAATAAAAGTGATTGGCAAAATTTTAGCGAACGCTCCCCAAATCATAAGCCGGAATAACCTAAATTCTCTTGGCAAAATTTTGCTGACCTCGGGTCAGGAAAAATTACACGAATTTTTTACATTGCTCGGACTTTGAGCAAAGACGGATCATTATCTGTAACGTTTGTAAATGTATGTAACAGGGTATACAGAATACTGTGCAATGTAAATCATGTGTGATTGAACCATTTATACGAAGTCACATGAAATCAAAACTTTGTAATTTGTAGTATATAAACATTTATGTATTCCGATGCAAAATCTTACACAGCCCACTCATATACAATATATAGTTAAAATACCAAAAGTATGAAGTTTATTAACGAAGCTGAAGAAGTTAACACAAACACTGATTAAGTATAAAATCAAACTACTTTTTCATAAGTACGGACAAATAGTTTTCAGTTTTTGCACTTGGTGTATCAGCAGTTGGACGTAACCATTCTGAATAGTTTGTTTGAAGCGGTGTGGTACGGCTTCTCTCACCCAACAAATCTATCGCATTCTCCTAAGTTATAGTCTGCAGTTAGCATACAAACATACAACACATGATTACTAAAATATCAAAAAAAACTAACCCGAATACTCATCAATATTTGGTGAAGCTTTATAAGCGATCCCAGATCTCTAACAGTTTTCGGTATGGTGCACGATTCCACCTCAACAAGTAAATATATTCCGGGATAATACAATGTCATAACACATACTTCCATTTTGTGGCCATTGTTAAAAATGACAATTTGGTTTGTTTCATCCGGTTGCATCTCTCGATGTTTGATGTCAAAATCTATGGAATCCTTGGCATGTATGGAACCACGGTAAATATCCCAATAACCTTTATGCTCCTCATCCCGACGTTTGGGGCTTGTTACTTCGCAGAAAACACCTATACAGGTCTCAACTTTATTTTTCAACATATGTCGGGCACTCTATCACGACCTCGGCGTAATTTGGATGCATCTGACACTGTATCGATCCTATAGGAATAAAACAGTCATAAATTAGTCCTTTTTTACAAAAATCAACCACAAATAATCTCATACCATGAGTGAATTGTGACATAGTTAAAGTAATGGATAGTCTTATTAAACAGTGGTCCAATATAGTCTACAATGAATGTTCCTTCATTCATTTTATTCACATCTACTGAAGGATTCCAAGTGGCACATCCTTCTAATAATCTGAAAAATGTTTCATTCAATAAACTCCCATTCTGTTCATTCTGTTTCACAGCAGATAATTTAATGAATCTTGCGATTTCTTCCTGAGAATCCCGTTGAAATTTCTAACAAGGTATTATAAATCAAAATAAGAGCGATTCACTTAAACCATTATAAAAATTAAATTTACAAACCTTTTTATTTTCATCCACAAAACTTATCAATTCATGCGGAGTTGTAATTTTTACAAATTTGGAGATGACCCCTGACCGGATTTTAGAAATTTCATTTACTGTTAGAAAACCAAGATAGGATTGTTCATTTTGTTGTCGGAAATAAAATATCGATGAAACAGATAGAAGATTATTGATATTTTGTTCTTCTGGACGATGAACTCCATGACATAATTGTTTAAGGTTGTTCTCTTGCCATCTCAACAGTTTAACTACCAATTCCTCAGTCGCATTTGTAATAGATTCTGTGACTAACTCTTGAACTGTTGATATATTAGAGGATTCAAAAAACAATTCGGTTTCCTCATCATAATTTTCCTGTAAGAGAAATCAAACGATAATATGATAATTAGATTAAAGTATTTATAAGATTCAATGTATATATTGCCTAACAACGTTTCTTATACCTTGAATTTCCCGTTATCAATCTCTGGTTTATCATCCTTGCCTGCATGATGTGATCGTGAATCAGACCGTTTTATGCGTACTCTCTAAAATACAAAGTTTCAAATTTGATACATGAACTAGCATGAAAGTTCTAGGGATCAATATGGCATATTGCGTACTTTTTCATATTCTTGATCAGATTCTTGTTCGGAATAGTCTGGGATATCTCTTCCATATCTTGTTTGACGTCGCTTTTGTTTCGAATTATTATGTTCCTCCACTTCCTCTTCATCACTGAAAATATCCTTATTCATTTGGTCAAGCAACTTCGCAGATCCAGCTGTGTATTCAGATAAAGACTCCTTTCGTGGAGTGACAACACGTGGAAGAGGGGTTTTATCTTTCAGAAATTCAGCAAAATGAACGTTTTTTCTCATTTTTCTATAAAATATTTCATGAATGATGGTAAGATATTGCAAGAAATAAAAACAAGAACATGCACAATATTCTCACCAAATTTTCCGTGGCAGTTGCAAACACTTCTTCAGTGTATGTGATGGCCCCATCAAAAACACTCTGGACTGCTTCGATCTAATAAAGATGGAAATATCAACTCAAAAATAGACCCAATATTCCATAAAATATTTCGCTAGATACCTACCTTCTTAACTTCCAATTCTTTTTGTTTGGTTTGAATGGTCTCAACCGTATTCCAGAAGGTATTAACCTCGTCATAATTAGTACGATGTTTCTATTTTTATCAAAATGAGAATGCAAAGAAAGCAAAGTCATTAGCACCTTTCAAAGCAAGAAATAGAGTTATGCTTCTAACAGGAAAGACTCATTGCAAAGCAGAACAACAATCACGCAGATCGTTGAAGGGCAACACGTAGCTTGCTCCACTCGTAGGAAGGATATCTCTTACTTCCATGAAACCACAACAATCACGCAGATCATAAAGGAGACAACACGCAGTTGTTTCCCTTAGTCATGGGTGGAAAAACCTTTACTGCCTTTGAATAGTCTCTTAACCCACAACAATCACGCAGATCATAAAGAGAACAACACGCAGTTGTCCCCCTTAGTCATAGGTAGGTAATCATTGCAATCTTTCCAACAAGAAAAAGTACTCGCCTTAAATGTATTCAAGAGACGTTTGGCGTGCTTCTTAGCCTCATACGAGCCCCTCTCTAACAAACGATCTAATGATTTCTTCAGCACGAAAGATTCCCTTGAAAATGAGTTATTAAAGTCACTTTGACGTTGACGATGCTGGTAGAAGTCAAAGAAGCGCCATTTATCAGGTTCTATCTCGTCGAAATAGGAATCCCAGCTTTTAGTTGTCATGATGCCGATGATTGAAAGACAAAAATAGATCTTGCGATTTTATATGATTATCAAGATCACATGAGAGAATGTTCTAGACAGATATTATCATGTGATTAACATTACATCGGCGGAGTCGAATGAAATGTACGATGCTATCAAAGAGGGGGGAGCACGCGGGTCCTAGGCAATTTAATACGAGTCCCAGCATCACATTATTTCTTTGCTCTATCTTTTAAGAAGTTTGATTAATTTTATCACATGTCAGATATGGCTCATTGATAAGCGAACGCAAAATTTATATTTAAGAATTTATATTAATATACACATAAAACTAAAACACACATACATGTTTAAAAAATTCAAAGTGAAGTCTTTATTATATTTTTTTTGTAAAATAATATGAGAAAGTGCCGGCCGGCTAAGAAAAAATGAAAGTAAAAACGATAGAGTAGCAGGCTGTTTCAAGGGAGGAAAGGCATGAAAGAACACGCCTGCTTGTTAAGCCTGCCGAGCCCTAACCCATATAATGGCAGTTCCTTTCCCGTACTCAGTATTATTATCTAAACTGCTAATATTTTCTTTGCTATCTAACCATTTGCTAATTAACTTTATTGTACTATATTTCGAATCACTATACCCATAATAAAAACTTTTTATAGTAGGAAAGTTCATTGGCGACTTTAGTATTAATTTCTGCGGTAAGATTTGCTTTTTTGTTGAGATTTGACCACATGGTGATGATTCCCACGAATATCGTTGGACTAACGAACAAAAAAAGGCGGTTAAGACCAAGAATGGCATGGCTCCTGAAGAGTTGAGTAATGTTAAGATGGACATTATTAGATAAGCGGATGTGTAATAAAATTATTGAAAAATGTGTTTATTGGTGGATCAAGTTTTTTAGATATTAACGATTGATTTTTTGATATGCAATTCTCTTGCATAAATGCGCTGGGGAAAAGGTTTATTTTATACTGTATGCCTACTACAGCGTGAAAAGAGAATTTAACCCGATTTAATAAAAATTATGTTGCTTTATTATGTGTATTCTCCTATAATCAAAATAATAATATTGACGCTTACGAAAAGTTTTACATTGTTTGACTCATTGATTGCAATTGTGTCGAAAAGAGCAAAAGCTTAACGAATGCACTTGAGCAGTCCTTTATCAAGACCATAACAATAAGAATCGATCTTTCATTGATAGGTCGCTTGGGGAAGCTTTTTTTATGTTAAATTTACTTACGTTTCTTTAAGTTTTCGTTTCTTTCTTGGTTCATCGTGAGCTGATGTTAAGGTTTGTTTATTATTTATTATTTTCCGTTCTTCTTGATAAATTTCATAAGTGATTTTTTCTTTATCTAGATAGTCCTGGAGAGATTGGGTATCATTGATTTTAAAAACATAAGGGGCAATTTTTTCTCCTTGAGCTTTCTTTAAAATACTTCTAATGGTGCTGTAATTCTTGGGTTCCATAGTGGATTTGATGTAAATTAATTTCATATTAATATTTTTTATATAGAGATAATCCTATATATATTAATCCTGTTATGGTTTATATTCATCACATTCTGGTATGATATAGGGAACATTAAAATTAACAAGTCCATAAGGTATGAATGAGCACCATTAGTACTTTTCAAAATGTCATTAGTATTAGTCAAATTAGTTAACTTTCAGCCACACAAGCCTCTTATTTCAGAATGTTCACTTTGTCTGGTTTTGTTGCAGCATGTCCCATATAAATTTTATTATAATTATAATAAATCCAATAAATATATATAGAAATTTTAAAATTATTAAATAAACAAATTTATTTTTATAATTATTAAGCTAAAAAATATTCAAATTTTAATAACTGATATTTTATTAGAAAAGATTAATAAATTAAGATCTTTTTTTTATAAATTTTAATAAAATGGTATGTTTTATTCTTGATTATTAATTTTTATTTTATTTTATTATCATTATTAATTAATTATTATAATTTTATTAGATAAAACAATTGTAGATGCACATGAAAATTTTTATCAAAAGTATATAATCAAGAAATTGAAAAATTAAACATATTATTAAAAAATGAAAAAATATGTATTGTTGTGAATAAAACTATTGATGCTTATGAAAAAATAACAGTTAATTTAATTTATATTTTAAGAATCAAAAAAATTAATTGTTACAAAATATGTTTTTGTAACAAATAATATATAATAATATTATAAATAATTTATCTTTATTTTAAAATATCAAATTTCTTTTTAATAATATATTATTTTTTATTTTATCACTGATAATGCTAGTTATATAATCAAAACATTTAAAAATTTATTATCAATTATGTCATAAATAAAATAAAACAATTGTCTTATACATTTTATGACTTTAGATAAACAATATTATATAGATTTTTCTTTGTTTCAATTTTTTGGTACTATTATTTCAAATATTTAAAAGTAGTTTTATTTATAATTTAGCAAAAAAAAGAAGATAAATTAGCTATTTTTTAATAAATACTATTAAAAATTCTTTACTTTTTTTTAAAAATTTTAGTAAAAAATTCTAGTACTAATATTACTTTATCACTATTATTAGTAAAAATATATTGGTATAATTAATTTAAATTTGTATTTAGCTTAATAATTATAATTATATGTTGTATAAATCTTTGAATAATTCAGATTAATCTAAAAATTTTTAGTTCAAATCAATTTCAGTTTAGTTTTAAATTATATAAAAATCAATTTAAAAAATTTCAGTTAGTTTATTTTAATTAAATAATACTTTTATTATTTAATAGAATAATTAAAATTATTATTTCAAATAAAAGTATTATTTAATTAAAGTGATAAAAATATTATTTTAAAAAAATAATAAAAGAATCAATTAATTAGAACAATAAAAATAATCATTTAATTAGAATAATAAAAATATTATTTTAAATAAACAATATAAGAATCATTTGATTAAAATGGTAAAAATATTATTTTTAAAAAATGATAAAAAATCTTTTGATTAGAATAAAAAAGCATCATTATTTTAAAGAATGATAAAGAATTATTTGATTAAAATTATATATATTATAATAAATATTTTATCAAAAATATAACATGTAATTAAATACGTAATCAATTATAAACTAATAATTAATTACAAGTGAAATTAATTGTCAAAATCAAATAATTCATTACAAAATATTAATTAATTAAAAGAAATTATTTATTTATTATTTAAAAATTATAAATATTGATTTTATTAAAATAAAAACAAAAATTATAATAAAATATGGAAAAATGTATTTGTAATATCTTGTTATATATTTTATTTATAACACCCTTTTTTATTTTCTTAATAATAAATTATTTTATAAATATTTTATAAATAAGATTTTTAAATGCAAAATTTAATTTAAAAAACTTTTACTTAATGTATTAAAGACAGTTTTATAGACAAAATTTTTAGTTATAAACAGTTTTTTGAAATTTTTTAAAAAAATTCTTATTTCATTATACAACTGATCTTTTATTTTAATTTGCTAACTTATTGACATTACACCTGATCTTAAATTTTGATTGGATAAAATTTTTGGTATTACAAATAAGACATGTAACAGAATGTTACAATTAGATTTATTCATAAAATATTTATATATATTTATAAATATAAAAAATCTTAATTATTTAGTATATATTAGAACCTTCTAATTATATTAGCCAACCTTTAAATATATTTTTCATTTAAAATAAATTTGTTTATGATTTTATATAAAATTATTTTTTTATTAAAATTTGTCAATATAAAATAATATTCCTTAAACTGTAGAGATTCACAGGCAAATTTACCTATTTATTTATTATAAATTCCCTTCTAATTTACTTTTATGAAAAATTAAAATTTTTAAAAAATTTTTTTTTTAAATTAATTTTATAAATATATATAATATTATA